CCCATTGATCATTTAATTTTATAATTATTATCTGTATTTTAATTCCATAACCCATATCATAATTCCATAATTATAATCCATAACAATAAATCTGCTGTAAATTGTTTATTAAATCTAAGAACAAATGGATTTGGATCAAGAAAATTTAAATTTGATCGAAGAAGTAATTGAATCGATAGAAGAAGTAAATTATGATGATGTAGTAATAGAAGAAGAAGGATCGGAGAATGAATGTGAGGAGGAGAATGAATGTGAGAAGGATAATGAATTTGAGGAGGATAATGATTATAGCATGTTCTTATTGGATGAATCAGCTCCAAAGGCTGCAAAAGCTATATTTGAATCTCCGAATCTTCAATACATTCAAAGTGAAAATGAGAATGAAGATGTAGAAAGTGATGACGAATCCCATATGCTAATTGATAGTGATAATGAAGAAGATTTAGTGATTCCAAATACTTTACCTATAAAATTATCACCATGTGTTATTATTGATAATTCAAAAGGAGAGATTTCTCGATGTTGTTCAACAGAAAAATTAGTACCAATAGCACAGCTTTTTGGAACATGGGAGGTGGATGCATCTATAGGGAAGAATTCTGATTTTAAATTATATGAATATGGTGTTTGTACAAGTCATTTCAATTTTGATAATAGCAAGATTCATAACCCTAATTCTAAAAAAAAACGAAGTACTAATGAAAGTAAGATAAAAAAGAAAAAATGTCTTATGTGTGATAGATATAAATATTTTTTCAGTAGGGGTGATGATTGTGCAATACACTCTTGGAATCTTGTTGGAAGAAATATTCAAGTACCTTGTCTTGGCCTCAAATCCTGTCCTGTGTTTATTGATATTCCACATATTTCTTCTAAAGCCTTAAATAATGATCGTGTTCGATACGTTTGTACAGAATGTTTTGAAGCTTATGGTGGACATTTACACAAACATCAAGGATCAGGAAAATCAAATTCATGTATTAATGATGACTTACATAGAAATGATGTGACCTTTTCTTTAAAATTATTTGCACAATGGATTACAAAAATTTCTGAATCTGAAAATGATGATAAAAAAAGAAAAGTACTTTTGCATTTAATGCCACTATTGGAAACAACAAACTCTACTGATCAATTATTATCAAAAGCAGCAACTCCTAGTGTGTTCCTTGTAAACACTGCCATGAAATTACATGACTCCAATATTAATCTACCAATAGAAGAATTAAATGTTAATAATTGTGAAAATTTTGGAAAACAATTGGGTAATTCCATTTGGAATTCACGCAAAGAACTTAAACAAAATCTTTCAATTTTAGAAAATCCAACTTCCCTAAATCAGTACTATAATTCATTCCCCAAAACCTTGATTAATTTTTTTGATGGCATGATTGGTTCTATAATACAAAAAAAGCATCAAGTTGCTGAAAGAAAACGAAAGAGTCATGGACATTTTCCAAAAGATTTTGATCCTTCTTCAATTCAGAAAATTACTGTTTTTATTGCTTCAATGATTCTTACAGTTGCATTTCCAACATGGAAAATATGGTTAACTCATACCATGGCATCACTTTGTCGAAGACCTAAAATGATTTCAATATTGCAATCAATACTCCACACAGTAAATGTTGTCTCATATTCATGGGATCATGAAGTAAAAAAACAAAAAGAAAGAATGAAAAATGTAGATCCTCGATCAAAATTGCTCAGAACCCCTGAAACTTGGAATGTTGCAGTTATAGACAACATTGATTTTAAGGATACAACCTTTCATTATGGAAACATATATGATGTAACCAGAAATTCTGCACATGCCACACTCAGGATGGTCTTTCAATTTCAACTTCCATTTCCAGTAGCTTCATTTTTACAAATCAATCATCCACAGACTCACAGTGATGCATTATTTGGAAAATCATCTTTAATTAGTAAATGGGAAAAAAATATTGACATGATATTTCAACAGCTTATTGAAAATTATGAAGGTGGTTTTGATGTTCAGGATATTAATTCAAAAATTGCATCCAAAATTGAAATAGGCTGTCAAGTTCCACCACCAAATGTTGTCATTCTTGATGCAGGACCTGCTCCTAAAAAGAATGAAAATGTCTTTAGTTCAATAAATAAGTACTTTGATGATCTTGGACAACATATAATTGACATGGCTTGTGATGAAGCAATCTTTAGAAGAACCAAATCATACCATAATGATAACATGACTGGACGTTTTATTTTAGGTGGATGGCATACATCCAAAGCTATGTGTAGTGCCTTAATCACAGCATTTAGTGGTTATGGAATTTATAATATAGCAGCTGCACTTGGTGTTCGTTTTTTAGAAACATTGGAAAAAAATGTTGATTATAGAGCAACATCTTGTGTTTTAGAATTAATTTGGGCAGCTGTTGGAATATCTATTAATCAATATGTATTAAAAAGAAATATGACAGTAGATGATATTCTTGAAGGAAATAATTATGTATTAAGAATATGGTTTTTATACTACCGTTATTTTGGATTCTGGAAATGCCATCAACTAGGTATACGTAGAGGAAATTTTGAAATGCAGATAGAGAACTTGGCTGCATTTGCTCCATTGTTCCCTATAACTGGAAAAAGCAATTATGCTCAATCAGTAGTATTTTTTCTTGAGTCAATTCACCGGAATCCTGAACAGAAAGAGTTACTTACCCATGTGAGCTCAGTTAATCTAACCAGAGAAGGACATTTTTTTTCATTTGATGAGGCATTAGAATTTTTTGGTGTAAAATTTATAAAGCAAAATATTACTGGTAAAACTACAGACCTCAAGAACTTGACACTGCAAATTAAGTCAGTTCAATCAGAACATGAACGCATGATGCTGCTTTTCTCAGAATTTGTTGAAGACAATACTGTAGTGAAAGGTAGTCATGCAGCTATGCAAAGAAAAGAAGTCCTATGATCAATTGTAAATGAATTAGACAAGGTGTTTGATCTTCCAGATCCTAAAATGCATGATTTTTTTAAAAATGCTAAAGAAATAAATGAATCTGGTTTTATAAAAATGTTTGAAAGTTATGAAATAGGAATTGAACGTTTAAATCGTATATTACATCAAGATATTTATAAAACAGAACCACAATCCAAAATTGGTAGGCGAAAAAAAAATCTACCTCATATTAAAGTAAGTGAGCAAAAGGAATATGAAAAAGAACAAAATCAAATTAACAATGATGATACAGAACAAATAAATGATGACTTACCAGCTGTAATAGAAGAGACAATATCTGCAGCAAGTAATGAAAGGGTACAAGAGGTAAGATCTCCACTTCCTAAAAGCCAAAAATATACAGAAGAAGAACAAATAATTCTTCAGGAGCTTCTTAATTACACAGATTTGCCAAAAGAAGTTTGTATGAGAATAAATGAAG